AATAATAATAATAATAATAATAATAATAATAATGCCAGAAAGAATAAACTTTGTCTTGTGTCATTTTTTTGCAGCTGGCTGTGTAGAAATACTCAAGTGGCTGTTCACCTGGCCTCTGTCTTTGGTCTTGTACTTCACGGTGCCCAACTGTAACAAGCCTCGCTGGGAGAAGTGGTTCCTGGTCACTTTCACTTCCTCCACACTTTGGATTGCAGCCTTTTCCTATGTGATGGTGTGGATGGTAAGTAGTGGGTCCAACAAATGCTGGAGGGCACTGATAGGCGTGCCGTTCAGTTAAGAATATTGGAACATACAGAGAGCCTGGTGGGCCAGATCAACGTGCCTTCTTGGCTAGTGTTCTGTTTCTGGTAGTGGTCAGCCTGATGCTGTGGGGAAACATGCAAAGGAGGTCCTCAGTCCCTAAGTTTCCATTATCTGCCCTTCAGCAACCACTTACCAAGGCCCCTTAGTCTTATGGCACTGACCATTCCTCTGCAAACATGTTCATTATGTATATATGTTATATGTCTGTTTTCCTTTACTTTGCCTTCTCATTGCCATTGAAGCAGCAAAGGCAATGAGAAGCAGAGCTCACCAACGAATAGGAAAACCTACACTAGGTTGAGTTAAGTAGGTACATTTTAGTACAATCAAAATGAATCCTAATAGTTCATTTCATTTCTGTAGGTTACAATCATTGGCTATACTTTGGGTATTCCAGATGTGATCATGGGGATAACATTTCTGGCAGCTGGGACCAGTGTACCTGATTGCATGGCGAGCCTTATTGTAGCCAGACAAGGTAGGTTTATAGTACCAGTGGTGCCTTGACTTAGGAACGCCCTGACCTACGAACAGTTTGACTTACAAACAGCTCCAGACGCTAAATATTACTTTGAGTTACGAACGGAGCTTTGACTTACAAATGAAAACAAACTTTCCTGCCCTTTTTTTGACCTAAGTTCATCTTAGGTCAAAAGAAGAAAAAAGAAAAAAAATCCCCCTAGTGGTAGAGTACGGATTAACTGGCTTCGCATTAGTTCCTATGGGAACTAATGCTTTGACATACAAACCGTGCCTTGACATAAGGACAATAAACAGCTGGAATGGATTAATTGGTTTTCAATGCATTCCTATGGGAAATGGTGCTTTGACTTACCATCGTTTTGACTTACGGCCACCGTTCCAATACAGATTAAGTTCGTAAGTCAAGGCACCACTGTATTTTAAAGTGTGGATAACAAACTGCTGCTGAAGATCTTTGGAAGAGAACTGTTTCTTCTGCATTAAGATAAATGAACAGCTGATGCTAGGGTGCAAAATATATACTTGCAGTGAGTAAGGAGGCTGTTGAGATACTATTAGACACCTATCATTCAACTCAGGGAGAGACTGAGAGTGAGGTTCAGGCAAGAATATTATACATTCTCTTTCTCTGTCCTTCCCTGCTCTCATCACTAAGAACAGAGCATTATCATTGACTGGAGTGAGGATCCTACATTTATGGGATGCAGGATCTTACTGACCAAGATTGAACCTGTTCCATGTGAGCGTTCTCCTTTGTATGTATTCAGATAAACACATACAATCATAATGCAAAGAACTATGAAACTGTTTCTCCAAACTTGGTGATTGATGTGGTTATGATTTATGGGCAATGGCTGAAGCATTTAGTAGTTCTTAGTATAGAAGAAAAGACTGAGGTCAGAGTCCTACTGGCATATGCAATCACAAAAGCATAATCATGCAAGTGTTCTCCCACCTTCTAGCACGCTTTCCTTCACGTGACTAGTTGCACACTGGTTGCAAATTTGAGTGCACAGCCTACTGCGTCAAAGGCAGCCCATGGGAGGGGAACAACTGCTGCATAATTGCTCTTCCTCATGCAGATTTCCTTAACAGGAAAGAACTGGATTGATGATTACAGTAATGTGCACAGTATGCAGAAAGAATTCCTTTCTCTTTTTCACTCTCTGTTACCGTGCTAGAGCTCGAGATCATCCATTAAAATTGATTGGCAGCAGAGTCAGGAAAGAGAAGGTATGTCTTCAAACTGTGCATTATTCTTAGGGCATTTGCTGCCAACAGATGTAACCTTAGATGACCTTCAGAGAAGATTGAACCTATTTGTGGAGAACAAACCCCTTATAGCTATTACCGTGAGTGTTAATGGTAGCCTGTGTTCAGCAGGAAAGTATATTTTGCGTGTCAACTGCTGGCAAGCAGATGTTAAGTAAGAGTTCCTGTCTTACCTTTCTTGTGAACATCCAGGAAGCAACTGATTTCCTCATTTGTGGGAAAGAAATAAAACTGGACTAGATAGATTTTTGGCCTGATCTTATGTATTAATCACTGTGCAGAACAGAGATGAGTAAGAACCTTATAAATCTCTGTGGGATAGCAAAATGACATGGGCTGCATAACAGCAGATACATATTCATTCTCCTCCTTTTCTGCCTCAAGCTACCTGAAAAACAAAGGTGGTGAACGGACAGACCAGTAGTATGTGGTTTAAAAAGAGGGATCCAATACTGATAATGAAGAAGGAAAGAAAACAGGATATAGGTCAGGATAGAGGACACTGTGTAATCAAAAGTCTGTGTAATCATGAGTGTGTTTCATTTCCTTTTAGTGAGTTTGTGGCCCCTGTGCAAACAGCTAAGGAAATGAGAAGCTGAGGGCATGTAGAGAAGAATTCTGCAGCCAACTTTGACACATGTGGCTGACTTTGTCCTTTTCTTATACAATATTGTAGTCTGAATTAGATTTTATTGCATTTGGTCCCTTTCAGTGCAACAACTCTAGTTCATTGTTACTTTGAAGATGTATGTCTCTGCACTGAAATTGTAACAAATCTCAGTAGAACTTTAGCACAGACCTTCCACATCTCCCCACAAATCAAGTGGTGGATATTAAAATGATTGGGATAAATCCAATGTTAATCCCTGTAGAGGATCCCAGTTGAGTTGTCTGAGATGTGTTAGCATCACGTGCATACAACATGTTGTTTTGGACGGGTCTCTCCAGCAATTGGGGCTAGCAGTGGGTTTATCCCCCTGCTTCCAGTGAGCAAATCAGACCAGTCTAGAATATTTTGCTTGGATTGTTATTTGTGTGAATAGAGAGGAGAAATTATTACAGTACTTGGGTAACTGTTGAGCTTGTTTAACCTTGACTGGTGACTTACCATGTAGCAGAAAAACTAGACAGAGCAGAAAAATACAGGATTCATAGCTTTGTATGGAAATAGCAAGAGCAGTTCAGAGAAGAACAGAGCAGCCTTAAGACAATGACTTTCAGTCTGCCGTGATTCTGAGTTATGTTTTTGTGATTCTACAGGAATGGGAGATATGGCTGTATCGAATTCCATTGGAAGCAATGTCTTTGACATTCTCATTGGCCTTGGTCTTCCGTGGTCTCTACACACTCTTGCTGTGAATTATGGCTCTTCTGTAAGTCACATGTTTACCTGAATTTTTAGAGATGTATTTGATAATTCCTAGGAAATCTTCAAATACTTACTTCCTTTAAAGGAAAAAAACTGAACAGTTAGGAAATATCTGAATAGTATGCTTGTATCTGAATAATATAGGGCTCTTAATTATACAGATCAGTTGAATGTAAATTGAAAGTTTTCATTTGAAAATGTAGAAATAAGCATAATAAAATAGATTTCCATACCTTTCTGCCTTCCACCCCCCCCCATCCAAGCCACATGGCAAAAGATATCTACATTGAAAATATATGGAATATCACATTCTGTGATGTCACATTCTGCAAGAAATATCCTGTTGCATAACTCTGCCTCTGCAGCAGAAGTGATGTCACCAGCCATGACAGATTACTGCTAATTCCAGTGGGTGACCACGAACAAAGGAAGGCTAATTGCTGTAGAACAAAGGAGTCGACAACGGATGTCTGAACCAACAGAGCCTCAAGGCAACGCCCTGAGAGCTCTTTTTATTGACTTAGCATGAGTTACATAGTATGTTGTTAGAATTCAGATAGGATACTAGATACATAATCGTAACCAGGATTGGCTGAAACAACTCTTTGATCATATGCTCTACCTCAAAGCGAAAGGGCAGACAAAGGGGTTACTCCACCTGCTGGCAGTTGCTGCTTCCTGCCAAGAGTGTATGGACATCACTGGAACAGGATGCAGCTACAACCTTTAAGCAGAAGTTTCCCACAAGTTCCTTTATTTATTTTTTACTGTGTGTGAGTTGCATGCTGAGATACGAAGTTATTTGCAGCCCAAAATTTAAAAGTCTTAATTAGCTGCAATCTGCTGCAGATGGTGCCATCCTTCCTGTTGTGTAGACAGAATTACGCAACAGGATACTTGTCTATATTTCATTTAGAACATGTGATTGCCAGTTAACAATTTCTTTCTTTCTTTCTTTCTTTCTTTCTTTCTTTCTTTCTTTCTTTCTTTCTTTCTTTCTTTCTTTCTTTCTTTCTTTCTTTCTTTCTTTCTTTCTTTCTTTCTTTCTTTCTTTCTTTCATATACTGCTCCATTAATGCAAGCACTACTCTGGGCAGTTTACAGCTTAAAACTTAAAACCTCACAAGACCCCATATAACATAAATTCGAATAATATGCTGATACACAACTCTAAAGTCTAAAAATCACACAAAAAGAAAAGAGGGGAATAATATATCATTCGAGAGAGTTAGTTGTTGAAGGTTGGTTTGAATAATTTTATTTATTTATTTATTTATTTATTTGTTTGTTTGTTTGTTTGTTTGTTTGTTTGTTTCGATTTTTACCCCGTCCCTCTAGACAACGTCTAATGTAGTTTTTACCAATTTCCTGAATGTAAGGAAGAAAAGAGTTTATTGTTTCTCAGTTGGTGAATTGTTCCAGAGATTGGCAGATAGCACTCAAAAGACTCAATTCCTTGCAATTGCCTTTTTGGCCTCCCTTGGTGTGGCCACTTCTAGCAACATGGATTTAGAAGAGCACGTGGAACAAATAGCTGATTCCTGGGAGAGATGTTCCAACAAGTATTGAGATCCCTAAACCATTAAGAGCTTTATAGGTCATAACCAACACCTTGAACTGGACAGGAAATGGACAGGGTGCCAATCAAGGTGCACCAAGACTGGGGATATATGTATGATCAAATTTACTAGTGCCAAAAAATCAGTCCAGCACCACATTTTGGATTACAGGAGTACCTAACTTGGAAACATAGTCAAGCTGTCCTTTCAGAAACCTCAGAAATTCATACCTGTGCATATGATCAGGTGCTTACATTTTTAATCTCATTGATCCAGCAAGTTCATTTAAATCAGAACTGTAGGCATCCATTTGTCAGGCAACCAGCTTTAAAAAATCTGTAAATGGAAGGATGATGAGAGAGGGCAGGGGTTTCTTTTCTTGCTCAAGGGAAGAAACATCTAAATACCAAAGCATGCTCCATAGCCCTGCAGGGGAGGAGGACTGATCCTGCAGTGACTGTTCCAACTAATCTACATTAAAGTAGTTGACTTCATTATATAATGGTAAAAAAGAGATGTTAACTGAATTTGCTTGTTTTCTTCTTCTATCCTCCTTTCTTTTTTTCTTTATTATTATGGCCTAGTTGGTAAGCCACAGTTTAAAGTGGTTTGGCAGAAAGATATATAAATTAGTGCAGTTCAACCACGCAAGTTACTTACAAATGGGAAAAGCTTTCCAGAAACAACCGCTCAACACTTGTTGTCATGTGCTGTCAAGTTGCCTCCGACCTATGGTAGTTCTGAATGAGTGATCTTCAGAATGTCCTGTCCTCAACAGCCCTGCTCAGCTCTTGCATACTCAAGCCTGTGGGAATACTCCTTTAGGAGTCCATCCATATTGTATTTGGTCTTCCTCTTTTCCTGCTGCCTTCAACTTTTACTAGCATTATTCTCTTTTCCAGAGAATCCTGACTTACAATGTGCCCAGAATAGCACAGCCTCAGCTTCATTTCTACCCACAAATATAGTTTAGGCTTGATTTGATGTCAGAATCTTTCTGGCATTCCAGGGAATCTGCAAAGGTCTCCTCCAGTGCAATATTTCAAGCAAATCGATTTTTTTCTTGCCAGCTTTCTTTACTGTCCAGCTTTCAGGACTTTTGAATGCTTTATTTTAAAATAAGTTGTTATCAGTGTAGAGAGTTCTGTCCAATAGAAATGACCCAAATGTTAATTCCTTCCATATTTAATAGAGTGTATTAATGAAAGCTAGAATTATATGGGTACAAGTCAAATGTTTTACATATTCAACGGAGTTTCTAATTGAAAATGAAACTGTTAAATACGTATGTAACACTTAGAAATCTACATTATTGCAACCACAGTATGTGCTGATGCTTACCACTGAGAAGTTCTCAGCGCTCTGTGGTAATTGTGTGAAACCACAAGACCACAGAAAGCTAGAAATGACAGGAGAGGTTTATTAGCAACACAAAGGTATGTGCTGGATGGGAGTGGTTTACCTCACCCTTGCCCCCAAAAGTGTGCTTTGACTCTCCTTATTCTGGCCACTCCAATTAGTTGTCCAAAGTCTTAAGAAGAGAGGGGAATTGGTCAGCTACTTTTATTACTGCTTTTGCTTCTGCTGCTCCTTGTGTTCCTAACATTTTGTGTTCCACCCACAGGCCTCATGTCTACAACTAGATCTTTGTTCTTCTGATGGCAATATCTGCCATTGCTGAATATGGGAGAGTCATTGGGGTCAAGCAGCCAAAGGCTTGTGCATCCTTCCTCCATTTTGGTTGCAAAAATGGCACAGCCAGTTGTCATTCTGCTGGTGGCTGCTTCCTTCATCTTTCTGTCTCTTTAACCCACTACTTGTACTTATGTCCCAGGGCCTCAGTGTGGTATGATTACCTCTCCTCATATGGTAATTCCCAAATTGGAGTACACATGCCATGTCAAATAGGTTAATTGCCAATTAAAAGCTTCTCTAAACGCCCAAAGAAACACAGCAACAATGGCTGTGATCTATAAGCTCATGTGGTCCTTGTCATTGGCCTGCCTTCTCTCTCAACTCTGTCCCATGCCATGTTTGCCACAAAGGCTTATGCTGCTGTGGATCTTGAACCGATGACTTGTGAGATGCTACCAAGGAATTCAGCCTGGGCATTATCACCACCTGCTTCTTGCCAAAAGAAAAAAATGCAAGAAGGCCAGGCAACTTTCATCAGTAGTCACAGCAACTCAGCTGACAATCCCTGAGTGCTATGAATGTTTTTGAGTCTCACTTTTTGACTGCTCTGAGGAAGTAAGACTTGCTAAGTGATAAATCAGCTTCAGCATTGCACAGCAGCCAGATTGTACACTGACACACTTTGACCTTTGTTGCCCCACTTTTCTGCCTTACTTGCACACAATCTCACCTGGCCACCTTGAAGCCTTTGCCCCTAAGTTGTGAAAGCTGGATCAGACACAACTGGAGGACTGGATAACAGCTGGACGGAGGCTTTATACACATAATACTGTATGCGACAAAGGGCATATTCTGGAAGCAACTGTAATGAGTGGAAAGGAGGAGTCCATTATGAGTGGAATAGCCTTGAAGCTGATGTTTCTAACTGCCTCTCCCATGCTAGAAACACTATAACATTAAGCTAGGTGCATCATCCATAGTATTTGCCTGGAGAGGGGATCATTTGTGGCAACAAGGAATATTTTTATATACATTGAACCTGCAGGAAGATCACTGTGAGTTGGAGCATAGACTTTTCTTGCCTTTTTTAAAGCCAAATGCTGCATCAGAAGTGGAGACAGTGTGCCATTGTTCCTATTCTCTGATTGTTACTTTGCATAAACGATCCCTGTGCCAGTTGAAGGGAGAGGGTCTGTGTAAGCCAAGAGATACCAAAATGTATTGATATGTTAACAAGTTTAGATATGTTTTGCAAAGCAACCCACTTTAAAAAGCAGATTAAAGCTCTCAAACAGTGGCACTCTCTACCTTTCATTCCCTCCCCCATCACTGCTCCCAGGTATGATCCCTAGTATCTGAAAAGCCTAGTGATCTTACAGAGCAGGAAAACCTAAAAGAATGTCTGTTTCAGACCACAGAGCAGGAGAGAAGGCTTTCTTTAGTTGTGGTATGTAATTTTCCACTCAATCCTTAAGAGAAACACAGTCAGAAAATGCAGCTGGAATTGGCTGGTTGTTGTATGTTGCTTTCTTGCAACTCATTAGACTGCAACTACATAATCAAATACCATGGGATTTGCTTCACTTATAAAATGAGTGAATTTGAATTACTTTTTTACTGACCACATGTTGCAAAAGCTGAATCGAATCAGTCCAGTTCTTTTTGCTCCCAAAGCAACTTTTTTTCTCTCTCTGTGGTGCTGGGGGGCTTCTACTTTTTCAATCTGTAGGTAGTGTTTCGGTACTGTAGACAGTTGGAAGATGATATTCAGGATCGAGGAACACGCACATATATACACACGCATATTCTT